GAAACAGGATGTATGTGACATGAGACGGAGTGGAAATTACTTGAAGCAACTGAAATCCTTGAATCAGTTATAGGCAGTAAGAAAATAAGGAGGAAGTCAGCTGCCGTAAACCAATCCTGCAGTTTTTGTCTCTTTTTGAAAAAAGTCAGTATACGCTGGGACCGTATGTAGCAAAGGGTAAATTAGAATAATAGAGAATTAACAATCTACTTTTGACAATTTCCTTCTAACGCTATCCCTTCTTTCATACCATATTTTCTTCCTCTTCACTCATCTTTAATTTCTCTGTCATCAGTCTACCTCATTCTATTCTTTCTGATTGGGTACTCATATCCTTACCCCTACCTATTCATTTTCATCTTCATCTCACTGGATTATCTCATTACCATCTTCATTTTCTTTCCCTTTTCATATTCATAATGTGTTTGCAATTCTTTTTGCAAAAGTTCTGCATCCCATGAAACCTCAGATTTTGACTAGTCTATTTCCTGTCTCTTTAGTCAGCATACTAGCTTTATTTAAAAAAAAAAAAATTACACACAGCATTTACAATCCACACCAAAAAGGCATGCCCTCCAGGCACTCCTATTTGAGGATGATACTGTCATTGCTTTGTATCAAAGTCCTGAAATATTGTAGAGTCTGCTAACTTAGATTCATAATCACTCAAAAAACTGGTGTAATAATCAATACAGGAAAAAAGTAAATGAAGTAGGACTGTTGCCCAGACTATGGTATGTGTTTGTATGGACAGTCAACTCATCCATCCATCCACCTGAGAAGCTGCAGATAATGGTCTGGGTTCACAGTTGAATAGTAGGAACAATGTGGGCTGGATTACCTATGTAAAGTTGCATAATTCTTTTAATGAACCTTAACTTTTCTCTCAAATGAAGACCCCCCTCCCCCCTCCCTTCTTTTTAACACCAAAATCCTTCTGGGGATGATGTATAGGGCCATGAGTCACGGAACACCATCTTCTCCAAAGACTTCCAGTTGCAAATCAACAAAAAGGCAACAGAAAGGTTCATCATCAGTGCAAGCAGGCTGCCGCAACATACACGAACAAGGAACTGTGCAGGAATAAATGCATAGAGAATGTCAGAATTATACAATCAAAAATAAGACAACTGGTCATGTAGAGCAAGGGAAAAGTCATGGCCAGGAATCAGCAACTGATTGGACGGGGAGGCCGTGGAGTCTGAAAGAATGAGGAATCAGGAATGATACATCGTAAGCCTGCGTGACTGCCAGAATGGTGGTGTGAAGGCACGACCAAGTCCTGAAGCTGGACAGGAAATGCTGAGGTGGTTGTCCTGGGAGCCTCTTGGAATGGAGGCTCTCGAAGGAGCTCTCTGACACCTTCCCTCTCCCCTCCCCATTCTTTTTAGTCAGAGTGACGTAGGGCCTTTAGGGGCAGAGGTCACTAAGAAGATAGATATACTTCCTAGGGTCACACTGTGCTAAGCTGGAGATACAAACAGAAGTAGAAAGGCAGTCCCTGCCCTCAAGGTGCTTACATTCTAATGGGGAAAGGCAACGTGTAAAAGGGGGGAAAAACGAGGGGAATGAAGGTACCCAGCACCAGGGCACAGTACCAAAAGTGGAGGAATGAAGACATGGGTGGCCTGGGCCTCCTAATTAAAATGGAGATTTTGAGAGGGACCAGCCAATCTGAGAGAGCCTGAAAGGACAGGAGGCTACTACTTTAGAGGCGTGGGGTGAGCTTCCAGAGTAAAGAGGTTTCTAAGGCACGATAGAGAAAATCTTAAAGAACAGGTAGGGCCGAGAACAAGTTGTAAGAGCAATCAGTTTCGTCAAAGACAATAATAACAATGAGATATCACACCAAACTTTTGGGGACACAGCCAAAGCAGTCCTAAAGGGAAATTTTATATCTCAAAAGACTTTCAGGAATAAAAGTGAGAAACAGCAGATAAACAATTGGGTAGGCAATTAAAAAACTAAAAAGACAGTACATTAAGAACTCATTTAAACACCAAAACAGAAATCAGAAAAATCAAGGAGATGAACAAAATTAAAATTAAAAACTCAACGAAACCAGCAACTATTAAAAACAATAAATAGATAAACCATTAGCTAATTTGATTTTTAAAAAGATAACTAAATTAGCCATTTCAAAAATGGAAAAGGTGAATTCAAAATCGCTGAAGAAGAAACAAAAGAACTTATCAGGAGTTATTTTGCCCAATTATATGCCAAGAAAACTGACAATCTAAATGAAATGTAAGACTATTTACAAAAATATAAAATGTCACAAGAACAAGAAATAGAGGATTTAAACAAAATTTTAAAAAAGTGAACAAGCCATAAATGACTTTGCCCTGAAACAGAGTTTAAATTTAAAGCTAGCAAATCCCCAGCCTGCCCCTGAAAATACTCAGTACCCCAAGAAAGCAGCAAGAGGACCAGCCAGACTTTCCCTACAGAAGCATGGCACAGCCTAGCCCCAACATCAGATCAGAAGTCAGAAAATAGGCTGGAAAAATAAGCAAACCAACAAACAAAAAATCCCACTCTGAAGATTTATTATGGTGGCAGGGAACTCAAGACACAAACTCAAAAGAGAATGACTCCAAAATAACCACAAGCATTGCCTCAGAGCAAAAAACAATACCAAGACTTACAGTATCGGGCTGCTAGGTGGCGCAGTGGATAGAGCACTGACCCTGAAGTCAGGAGGACCTGAGTTCAAAAATCCGGCCTGAGACACATAACAGTCACTAGCTGTGTGACCCTGGGCGAGTCACTTAACCCTAATTGCCTCACCAAAAAAAAAAAACAAAACAAAAAAAAAACGACTTTCAGTATCTTGACCCTTCAGTTGTCTCCTAGGTTATCTCCACTGTGGTAGTCCCTGGTGGTCCCTCTCTTTTTTCCTCAACTTGATCCCTGGGTGAACCCGTTCAACTGTACCCTGTCCCCTTCTCTTGAATTCCTATCATATTACCGATCACACTCTCCCAAGCCTCAAACTCGGATCACTCCCACCATTTGCTCCCTCTGCTGCTACATGTGTGCTGCTGCATGAAAGTTGGGAAAAATCACACGACCAATCTGAAAGGTCTGCTACAAATTTGTGACACCACCTCAATCTCAACGTCGTTGTGGCTAGGCAATCCTTCCATATCTCCTTATCGACTCTCTAGATCTCCCTTATCAACTCAGGAACCTACCCTCTACAGCAGGTCTTCCAAACCTTTTCATCCCTTCTCAAACCTCAGTTGAGATCCTTGCCTCATTGTACAGAAAAAGTTGACACCATTCACTATGAGCTCCCTCTTCTTTCCTCTTCCTTATCCCTTAGCACTTAGATCAGGGCTTCTTAAATTGTGGGTCGTGAGCCCATTAGGTCACTTCTGCCCTATGTCCTCTTTCATTCCTGTTTCACTTGATGAAGTGGCCTCACTCCTTACCAAAGCCATGCCTATTGCAATGGTCTTCTGGTGGGTCTGTCTGCCTCAAGTCTCTCTCCACTCAATTCCATCATCTATTCAGCCACCAAAGTGATTTTCCTAAAATGCAGACCTGATCATATCACCCCACTAACTCAATAAACTCTAATGGCTCTGTATTACCTGTAAGATCAAATACAAAACGCTCTGTTTGGCATTCACAGCCCTTTATAACTGCCTCCCCTCCACCCCCAACCTTTACAGTCTCCCTATATCTAAGACCCTTTACTCAATCCAGTGACCCTGGTGTCCTGGTGTTCCATGAAAGAGACACTGGACATTTTATCTGGCTGTCCATAAGCCTGGAGAGCTTTACCTCCACAATTCCATCTAGACTGATTTTACTGGCTTCCTTTAAATCCTAACTAAAATCCCATCTTCATACCAAGAATTTCCCAACCCCACTTAATTCTAGCATTTTCCCTCCAGTAATTATTTCCTAATTATCCTGTGTATAGCTTGCTTTTGTGTGTGTATATACATATATGTGTGTATATATTTGATCTTGTCTCTCTCATTAGACTGTATGCTCCCTGAGGGGGAGGAACTGCTTCTTGCCTCTTTTTGCACCCCGAGCTTAACGCAATGCTTAGCACGCAGTAGATGCTTTGTAAGTGTTTATGAATCGATTGGTAAAGGCCGAAGGGACCGGGAAAGAGCCCTAGACCTGAGCTCTGAAGGAAACCAGCTAGAGGACCCTAAGAAGCAGGGATGCGGAGGCAGAGCAGGGTGCAGGGATCCAGCCCGTGCAGAGGCGCAGAGGCTGAAGCCGGCAGGTCACCTGTGAGGGACTGGGCGGGGCACAAGAGTATAGCAAAGGGAGTAACATGTAACTCTGAAGAACGCAATGCTTGCGGAACTCTGTCGCTGCAGCGTCCGCAGCAGCTCGCATTCATATTTAAGGTTTGCACGGCGCTGTACAAACATCATCTCGTCCCGTCCTCACCACCCCCTGGGCCGTTGGGTGCGGCCCCCAAACAGGCGAACGCGTCTGAACCGCGGGGATCGCATCCCGCCGCGGCGGCCTCCCGGGGCGCGTCTGGGCCGGGCTTTGCGGAGGACGCGGGACGGAGAACTGGACACCGCGTGCTGGGCACAGGGACAGGCAGGGGATGCCCCAGGCCCCCAAGGGTGCGCAGTTGCAGGGAGTCCCTGTGCAAAGCGCGCCGCCCCTCTCTCCTTCTGCCCTCGCTCTCCCTGCGGTTTCCGTCGGTCTGCCACACATGATCTCCTCCTTAGTGCCACCTGCCACCTCCCTCCCTCCTCTTTGGAGCGTGGCCCCCTCGAAAGACTCAGGTCAGACGGGCGCCGCTGAGCCCTCTGGGAAATGGCGTCCTGGGAACCCAAAGACTCCAGCTCTCGTAGGGCGCTGCTGCAGAGAAGACTCCATTTCCCAGAAGGCATCGAGATCGCAGACTGGGCCTGCGCCTTCAGGCCCTGACCCGCCCCACCGCCAGGCGCCAATGGGCTTCCGGGACTTTCGGGAGTCGGCCTGCGCAGGCGCATTTCAAGCGGAGGCCGGAAGTTCTCCGCTTTCCTGCCTCGGTTCTGGAGCCACCCTCTGGTACGCAGGTGAGAGGCGGAGTTGGTGCGTGGGTTTTCGTGGAGCCTCCGCGAGCAGGAACGCGGGTGTCCGAGCTGCCCTGCGAATTCCTCTCAGTGGATGCGCTCTCTGCGAGGGTGGGTGCCCGCCCTGTGGGGACTTCGTGAGTCCCTGAATGTGACCTGAGGGGGCGGAGAATGTGTGCGCGCGCGCGCACGGCTGAGAACGTGCGTCGGGAGCGTGTGCGCATGCTCTGATGGAGCGCTGCCGTTCTCCAAGGTCCTGGCCAAGTCGCGTGCTGCGTCTGGGCTGAAGTTGGCTCTGTTGGGACTCGCGGAGCAGCCTCCCTGTGCCCCTGGCCTCCCCCAGGGTTTGGGGTCGGCTTCCAGCGAGATCCGGCCCCTCATTTTCTAGCTGGCCTCTCTGTAGCGCTTTAAGGTTTGCAGAGCGTTGTCCACACGGGATTTCGTGGGGTCTGTTCATGGTGAACGCGGCAGCCCTGGCCGGGGGAAATGACCCCTGTGTAACTGTTGTAGGTCTCCTGTCTGTGTCCCTAAATATCTATAATTCTACAGAGACAGGTCACGAAGAATCTGGGTGGGACAACGAATAGAGCGCCGGATCTGGAGTGAGGAAGGCCTGGGTGCACCACTGACTGTGAACATTCCTCAGCAGTGTGACCCTGAGAAAGTCACTTATCCTTTGTCTGCCTCGGTTTTCTCATCTTTAAAATGGGATTGATAATAGGAGCTTCCTTGCAGAGTGGTTGTGAGGATCAAATGAAATATGTGCAGTCCTTTGTAAACCTTTCAGGGATTAACTAGTGTTAGGTATTATTACATATGTTAGTGTGTGTGTGCGTGTGCACATGTGTGTGTGTATAAAACAAAATATACATGTTAAATGTAATATATAAAGTAAATATAAACTTTATAAGAAAGGTAAGACTTTAGTAGGACACATTGTCACATGAGCCATGATATAAGTAGCAAGCTGGTGGTAGTTATGTGTGTTGACTAATGGATTGTCCACCTACCAGTTAAATCCTGCCAGTTAATCTAATCTCAGTGTTGCAGTTCAGGGAATCTGAACCTCCGGTCAGTGAACTTGGTTTTAAAAATATTTTAATGACAGTATTTCAATAAAATGGTTTCCATTGTAATTCTAGGTATTCTGTTTTATGCTTTAGAAAGAGCTTTTGCTACAGTTGCCAAAGGGGTCCATGTCACATGGAAATGGTTGTGGAGCACAGTTCCAGGGAACATGTTTCTCATACTGTGTGAGGTCCCACCTGCCCTTCCCATTTCTTGGGCCCATATGATTCTCCCTAGTGTGTGTGTGTGTGTGTGTGTGTGTGTGTACTTGCAAAAAGTATAGACTAGGCAGGTGATCTTATGTTTTTTTGTGACCTTTGGTAATCAAGTGAAGCTTTTGAATCCTTTCTCTGAATATTATTCAGAAATTAATAATTATTGAAAGAAATATGAAATTTCAGTTAGAGTTGCGGTGATCCATGGACCGTAGGACTAGAGGAAAATCTCATTGGCCTCAGGGTAGAGCTGCTGTTCAGTTATTTTTCAGTCATTTCAGACCATTTGCGGTGGTCTTTAGGGGTTTCTTGGCAAAGATACTGGAATGGTTTGCCATTTTCTTCTCTGGCTCTTATTATAGACGATGAAACTGAGGCAAACAGGGTTTAAAGTGACTTGCCCAGGATCGCACAGCTCGTAAGTGTCTGAGGCCAGATTTGAACTCGGGAAGATGAGTCTTCCTGACTCCAGGCCCAGCCCTCTATCCACTCTCCCATTTCCTCATTAAATTGAGGATTCTAGAGACCAGAGGTGGACCCCTGAAACATCCTGTCTTCCAGCCTACTTTTTTCCTTCTAACTTTCCTGATTGTGAAAAATGCATTCTACAGAGTCAAGGTAGGGAGACTAATTTCCATTGGCTATTTCTGGGCTGGAATGGGGAAGAAGGGACAGCCCATTCACTGCACCCCCTCACCAGCTCCTCTCTTTGGAGGCTTTTGCCATACTCTGAAAAGTCATGGCAGTTGACATGGTATTGATAAAAATGTTTTTCACTTGCATCATGGCATTTTGTTGAGGATTTCTCAAGTGATTAACAATTTGTTAATCCAATGTTAGCAAATCAATGAACACGTTTAACAATTTGACATCTAGGTGGTCCAGTGAATAGAGCCCTGAACTTGGAATCTGGAAGACCTGAGTTTTGACTCTGGCCTCAAGATACTTACTAGTTGTGTGCAAGTCACTTAACCCCTTTGCCTTAGTTTTCTCAATTGTAAAAGGAATAATAATGAAGGCACTTAATTTCCAAAACAACTTTATTGTGAAGACCAGTTGTGACAATATTTGTACATCACTCAGCACAGTGCATGGTACTGAGAAAAATGATTATTTTCTTTTTCTGTTAATAGCCAATTTATATACAGGACCCAAAGATCCTCTTTTTTATTATTAATAACCAGTTATTATTAGGTTAGTTATTAGTAGGGTTTTTTCTCTTTTTACTTTTCTCATTCGAAGCCCAGTCCTTGTGAAGGACAGAGCTGACCAAGAGACTCTTTCTCCTCCATCTTGGCTGGCACCCCACCCACCTGGGAGAGCTTAGCTCTGATTAAAAGGTAAATAGAATCTAATCTAGGTGAATTGGGCTCCTTTATTCAACTCATGGAGGACTGGGTGGAGAATGGATTCTTTTGTATAGATTGCTGGAGGCAGAATGATCTGGGAAACCACTGACATGATCATAGCCCCCCTAGTCTCTCATTAGAAAAAGCCCACCTCAGTATAATATTCATTCTTTCATTAATTGTTAACCAATCAGGGTTGATTTTCACCTTCAGGGACACCCCCTTTTCCAAAGGTATTTAAACCTGTAGAGACCTTGATGCAGGGTCTTTGGTTACTGAAAGAACCCCTGACCTCAATTTATTGATTTCTTTAACAGTCTAATTACCAAATTGATTATTAATTACCTAGAAACTATGTCTCCCAGACTTTTCATTATGTGCTTTATAATTGCTAGCTATTATTACTGTTGTTATTTTTTTTTTTTGGAGGTAATGGGGTTAAGTGACTTGTCCTGGGTCCCACAGTTAGTGCCTGAGGCTGAATTTCCTAACTCCAGGGCCTGTGCTCCATCTCCTTGCCACACCTGGCTGTCCCCATTACTGTTATTTTTGAGAAGCTTCTGTTTTCACAGTTAGGTGATTATTAATTAATGAGGAAACTAAGTTACACAGTGATTGAAGCTCTGGGCTTGAAGTCAGGATGCCCTGGGTTCATTTCCAGCCTCAGTTACTTCCTAGCTTTGTGACCCTGGTGGTAATCACTTCCCCTCTGATTTCCTTAGTTTCCTCATCTGTAACATGGCCATGGATCAGGGGTGGGGTACCTGCGGCCTTAAGGACACTTATGGCCCTCTAAATCTTTGTTCTGTGATGTTCAGATTCAGTCAAAGGGCACACTTGAGGACTTAGAGAGCCACGTGTGGCCCCCAGGGTAGATAATAGTTGTGCCTACTTCTCAGTGTGGTTGTGAGTTGGAAAAAAAAAATCATATTGTAAAGTGCTTTCCTAACTGTAATGCTGTATATCAATGCTAATTAGGAGTGTTTTAGTGATGATATGATGGGCATTCCTTAAATGAAGTGGGTCATATCATATAGCACATGGGGAGCAAGTATATGAATCCCTATCCACTTTGCCCTGGTTCAGGTCTAAGTACTATTGTTTGGGCCCTGATGTAAGCACCGAGACTGGGTCAGGTTCTCAGGCTCTAGAGCCCATCTCCTGAATCTTTCCCTGCAGGCCATAATTGCTCTGGAGAGCCCTTTGACCTCCCTTTGTATAGGGATCTTGGTGGTCACCCCTCTTGGTTATCTGGGGATTTCCAAGCTGCTGAGTCTGGAAGCTACACATCAGAGTTGGTCTCCCTCATGGCACCTTTTCTCCCCTCAGATCTGCCTTCTTAAGACTCTTACCTTCCCCAAGAAAGGAGCACAGAGCAGGAAGAAGGAATGACCTCTGATCTCCTGTCAGACAGAGCCCGGGTGAGTTGGATTTTTTCTCTCCCAGATTTCATTTAGGTTCATTTCTTAGAGCAGATAGGTCACCTTCCTTATCTTTGGTCTCTTCCCAATCATGTCCTATTTTTTTTTCTTTTTTTTTTTTACTTTTAGGCAATTGGGGTTAAGTGACTTGCCCAGAGTCACACAGCTAGTAAGTGTCATGTGTTTGCTGTGAGGCCAGATTTGAACTCAGGTCCTCCTGACTTCAAGGCTGGTGTTCTATCTACTGCACCACCTAGCTGCCCCCCCAACCACGTCCTATTGAGGTACCAGAGCTCCAGTTTTTCTCACCTAGAAGATGGACCTTTTCTGACAGGATGTCAGGTTGATAAATTGTGAGAACAGGGGGCAGCTAGGGGGCGCAGTGGATAGAGCACTGACCCTGGAGTCAGGAGGACCTGAGTTCAAATCCGGCCTCAGACACATAACACTCACTTAGCTGTGTGACTCCAGGCAAGTCACTTAACCCCAATTGCCTCACCAAAAAAAACAAAAACAAAAACAAAAATATTAATTGTGAGAACAGAATAGAAGTGGACAGTAGATCACCCAGCCTCACCCCCTCATTTGGTACCTGAGGAAACTGAGCCCAAAAGATCAAATGTCTTGCCTGATCTCAGAAGAGGAAGAACTCAAATTAGACCCAATGTCTCTTCTTTAAAAAATAACGATTGATATGCTTTCCTTTTACATTATCTTCATTTCCTGGTATATACGGAGAGGTCCTGATTAGTGTGAATTATGAGTCCTTTGAAGTGGTTGCACCTATTTGAATTTACACAGTTATGTAAACAACATACAGGGATGGAAATCCTTCTCCTTCCTTCTCCCTTTTCCCTTCTTTTCTCCTTCTCCTTCTTTTCCCTCCTCCTCCTTCTTTTCCCTCCTCCTCTTTCTCCTCATTATTTTTACATAATGTTTCATTTCTTTTTTGCTTCATCCTGAACTGCTTTCCTAAGCAACTCAAGCTATACATACAGCACTTAATAAAACCCTTAAAAATTCTAAGACACCAAAAAAGGTGATTATTCGTTAAATGCTTGGCTCTTATTCTGGCTCACGTATTATTCTTAGTAAAATGAATGCACAAGTATTTATTGACACATTTAACTAAAATAAGGTATAAATAAAACTCACCTAACATAAGCAAAATTTCCTTTTCTTTCTAAAAATTTTAGGGTTCATGCGGGGAATTGTTGGAGACAGTAGAGGTAATTGGGATCTTTTTCCCATTTTCCCCACCATTTAGAAGTAATACTTTGGAAATGGGTTGATTTTCTAGTGATCTGTTGGTCACTTGAGTAAAATGAAAGCTAGCTGAGGGCACATATCTTAAATATCTGGAATAAGATTTATTGAAGGGCATCAAAAGTCACAAATAACTGGACCTTGGATGTTGAGGAAAAGCGTATGGCTGCTGCTTACAAACAGATATCCCTCAAAGCTTCTTGCAAGTAACAACAAAGCTTACAAATGGGACAGCTAGGTGGCTCAATGAGTAGAGTGCTGGCAGGCCTGCAGCAGGCAGATTCATCTTCCTGAGTTCAAATATGCCCTCAGACACTTACTGGTTGTGTGACCTTGAGCAAGTCACCTAACTCTGTTGCTTCAGTTTCCTCATCTATAAAAAAGTGCCGCAGAAGGAAATGGTAAACGACTCCAGTATCTTTGCCCAGACAACCCCAAATGGGGGTCAGGAAGAGTCAGATGGCACTGAAAAACAACAACAAAGCTTACAAAGCAAGGCCAAAAGAAACAGTCCCTTCTGTTAAGGAGCTCCCATTCTAATAGGAGTTAAGTAACTAGGCACAGCAAAGAAGATCACTGGAACATACTCTCCCAGGGAAGACATGAACAGCTAGGTGGGGTTGGGGCTCTCTCTCTGTCCAGAAGAAGCGTCCTGCAGAAGAAGAGATTTCAGAGGAGTCTTGAAGGAAGCCAGGGAGGCTGGGGGGGTGGGGAGAGGAAGAGAGAGAGGGAGAGAGAGAGAGAGGAAGAGAGAGGAGAGAGAGGGGAAGAGAGAGGGGGAGAGAGAGAGAAAGAGAGGAAGAGAGACAGAGAGGAAGAGAGAGAGGAGGAGAAAGAGAAAGAGAGACAGAGAGAGAGAGAGAGTGTGTGTGTGTGTGTGTGTGTGTGTGTGTGTGTGTAAGTGTAAGGATAGGCTTGGTGGTAATATGAAAAGGGAACTGGCAGCATTTCGCTGACAACATTCCAGAATTGACTAGTTAGCCCATCAGCCTCTGCTTTGGTAGACCACGATTCAGGCTTAAAGGTTCCCTTCCAGAAGCTGGGAGATTCGGACCTTGGCCTATCAGTATCTAAGTACTGAAAGGAAAAGTAATTCAAATTACTGGGAGAAATAGAATGGAAAACATGAAGAGTTCTCCTTTGAGACCTAGACTAATAACAAAAAGCTAACCAAGAAAGAAGCTAAGCTCTTGAACAGAATTTGGGAAGGTAGATGTGAGAAGATGAAGATCAATCCTGTATCATTTTCTTATTGTTCCTCTTTGTAATTAATTGATTTTGTCCTGTAACTGCTTAAGTCATGTGGCCCTTTGTCTCTGGACTTGGTCAGAGGTTCATCAGGCCTGCCATGGATTGAAAGGAGCAGATACAGATTTGATACTTGATATTCAATTCTGTTGTTCTACCTTGTATTTTATATCTTATTCCACTCTGGAAGTGATTCTGTTCTATAACCATATTCTGTACTCTGTGTAACGGACCTAATCCTCCTCTTTGTCTCTTGGCAAAGCAACTCTTAAGTTCAAAAGTTTGGCCTCCCTCTCTGAGGCTGAATGTATAAGCTATAGCTCTCCTATAATTACTGCTAATTAAAGAGAAACTCTGAGCTTGGGAATTGTTATCTCAGTGACACCTGCCGATCGTGCCTGCCAAGGGAAGTTTGTTACTTCACTTAACTTTAGTCTCTGAGGAGCTGAATATCGATGCCATCCTTGAGAACCAGACTGAGTTGACCTTGGGCCATCTTAAGGCCGTATCCTTGTAAATTTTAGGTGGCTTTATCTTATGCCCATGTGCCTTTGAGTCTGGTACTCCTGTCTGTTATCTATGACCTCACGATGTAGCTGGATCCTATAAATTCCCAAAAGCATTCCTTTGAGACAAAAAGAGGTGAACCTTTTCCCCACGTTTTATTTACCTTCCTTAGTGTAACCAATCATAGTCTTCTAATTCTGTAATGTTACCAATCCCGTAACCAATGATGTTATTTTTCTTCTGTTCTTTGTCTTGTACTCCCCAAAATCTATATAAGGGGAACTGTCCTTTTGCTCAGAGTCTTTGGCATAATTGGAGGCAAGCCAATGACCAATTTGTGAGGCAGCATGCCCCTTTTAATAAATGTTTCCTTGTGTTGAAATTTGCCTCACTTTACCCATTTGTTAAGTTTCCAGTGAGATAGGTGTTAATTCATCTCTGATACTTACCGAATTGGATTTAAAAAGTATGTTTCTCAACTGTGCATGACATTTCATCCTAAGCAGGTAAAAAAATTCATGAATATGCAAAAAAAGCAAGAATATTAAACACATCATTTACTGATGACAGCACAATGGAAAATGTAATCAGTGAAATGGATTTGGACAAAGGCTAAACCTTAAGTGGAGATGAAATAATTTAAAGAATTGATGGGTCAGAAAATGAATTATACAAACAATAGATAATTTTGTCAAATTAACAAGATGATTACTAAAACTTGTAGGATGCTGACAAAATATCCCTTGGGGAAATGTATATGCTAAGTACATTTCATTAATCTAAGAAAGAAAAAACAGGTTAATGAATTAATCAGTGTAGTTTTAAGAAATACAAAAAAAAGGACAAACTAGAAAATCAACGGGTTAAAAAAAAACAACAAAAAACAAACCAAGGCTGTTACAGAGAAATATAAAAAAACTAATTTAGATAATGACTTATTCTGCAAGCCTTGTGATCACCAGAACAAATCAGGTCTGAGGCTCTTAGTCAGGAGAAGGACCTTCAACCTTGGTTTTTACAATTATCATACAGTTATAAAGTGTCAAAAAGAGGATGTAGGGATTGAATCACTTTGTTTCTTATTGGTGGACAGGATCAGGATTTTCCCCCAAATCAGGCAATAGTTAGGAGGGATGGAGTGGCCTTGTGATTTTCCTGAATTTGATGACTTAGAAGTTGAAACTTAGCCTCACAAAATGGTGGATGAGGGCAAAATGGAATTACTAATGCTATTTCCATGTGATACAACCTAGTCAAAAGATAGCAGTATTGAAAATTAAAGATAAGCAAAATTGGGGGAACAATCCCGCTCAAAATATAAATGTAGAACCAAAAAACAAAAACAAAAACAAACCACCTAATGTGATAAAAAAGAAAGAAAACCAAATTGCCAAAACGAAAAAAAAAAGTCCTCAGAAAAGAAATTAGAAAATTTGACCAATTACATGGCAGCAAAATATGCTACCTTACATGAAATAGACAAATATTTATAAAAATATATCTTCCAGTTTTAGAACACTTTTTTAAAAATCCAATATAATGAAAAGAAATTGGACAACTAACGAATATTCCTCAGAAACAGAAAAATTTGCAAGTGAATTTTAGCTGACCTTCAAAAAACATTCAACTAGCTGTTAAGTATAGGCTTACGTAAATGATTATGTCCAATGTGTTGTTTTGTTTTGCTATAGTTATTTGTTAAATAGGAGAGTTTTTATTTGGGGAGAGGAGAGTTGGGCTAGTGATACCAAAAGAAATTTCTTCCTTGTGATAGTACTAACGATATTAGTTACAGGTAACACTTCTCTAGCAATTTTGGGTTTGCAAGCACTTTATATACCTTGCCTTATTGATCTGTGTCTCTCTGGGATGAATTTCTCTAGGACTTTGAGTGAGCCTTGTACTCTCAAACTGATTCTTCAACTGCTAGATGGGTGTCTCCTTCTGGATGAGTAAATACTACCTGATAACACACCTCTGATGTTAGATACTATTAGTGAGGAGTTGTTGACTAGGGGTCAACAATTCCCTAAGGAGTCTATGGATAGATTTCAAGGAATCTGTGAACTTAGATCAGAAAAACCCCACATCTTTATGTTTACTAACCACTACCTGAACTACACTAGCATTTCCTTCAATTATTTAAAAACATGATTCCCAGTTTAAGGCATTCCTGGATTCCAACAGCCAGAAGGGTCCATGACAACAAAAGGCTGAGAAATCCCAGCTTCAGGTGAACTTAAGTAATGACATAAAACTGTGTGTGTGCTCTCCCATCTAGTCTAAAGTCAGGCATATAGTAAATGGCTCAACGAGTATGTGATAAAACACACTGAAACCCTCAACACTGAGAACCATTCTGCCACCTTCGTTTCTCTCTTCTTGGTCTGTAAAAATAGAAGGAGCAGCCATAATCTGTTTTATTATTTCAGGAATCAATAACATTCAAGGACGTGGCTGTGGACTTTACTCAAGAAGAATGGAAACAGCTGGACCCAGCGCAGAGAGACCTGTACAGGGATGTGATGCTGGAGAACTATAAGAACCTGGTTTCCTTGCGTAAGGACAACTTTCCTCTGTAACTAAAGATCGTTCTCTTCTAGTGTCTTTGTGTTAGCATTTGTTTGGGATTATGGAATGTCTGTAATGCTTGATTTGGTGCTTAACTGCTGGGCTTGCTGTTCAGGAAGATTGAGAATTAGATTTAATGTGGGGAGTTGCTCAGTCATTTGAAACTAAAAGATGTTCTATTTCCTGTTTTTAAGAGATAGGCTTTTTTTTTTTTTACATTGGCATTGTATATCCCTGAAAGTACGCCTTCTCATCCTCTTCCCTCACATCAAAGATTCTGCAAGCTGAAGACATGAAAGTTTCCCATAATTTTGGGGAAAAGTTTTTCAGATGAACTAATTTTCCTTCTGAGCCAAATCACCTCTGTGAATCATCCTCCAAAGATGTGAAGAATAAAATGACAGTGTACTCCACTTTGGGGTTTCTAACACTCTGTCTTTTCTTGGAAGAAACAAATATGAGGGCTGAATTGAAAGAAGTGATATCTGTGTTAGTTTGGCTTAGCTGTTAGGGTTAGCTTTTCCCAAAGAAGGGGGTTTAATCCTATAATCAAACTAAAAATAAATCCAAATAATCAGTACTAGCTGATTTAAAGTATCTCCCTTTTCATTGGGTATGTTGTAGTTGGGATGGAGTATGATGTAGATTAGCTGGTCTCTGTGATCCTTTCCAACTCAGAATCTGTGATGCTTGGAATTCTAAACTGGGTTTGCATTCTGAATGATTTCTGTATTTTTTCACATGCTCAGGATTGCCAGTTTTTAAACCCCATGTGATATGTCAGCTGGAGCGAGGGGAAGGACCCTGGATATCAGAGACAGACGTCCCACAAGTCATTTGTCCAGGTATGTAACTGAAGACCAGACTGAGATACATTCCCAACAGTAATTGAGCTACTCAGTTGAACACCTTTGAAATGGAAAGGATCTCTTCTCAAAGCAACCTCAGTTGGAAAGCCTGAGGAAACAAAACAAAAGAGAAAAACCATGAAAAAAGCTTTGATCGATCTGCATTCAGATTCCATGGTTCTTTCTCTGGATATGGATAGCCTTTCCCATCATAAGTCTTTTGGAACTCTCTTGTATTGTGTTGCAGGGAAGAGATAAGTCGATCAAAGTTGATTATTATACAACTTTGCTGTTACTGTGTACAGTGTTCTCCTGGTTCTGCTCACTTCACTCAGCATCAGTCCATACAAGTCTTTCCAGGTTTTTCTGAAGTCTGTCTGCTCCTCATTTCTCATAGCATAGTAGTATTCCATTACATTCATATATCACAATTTGTTCAGCCATTCCCCAGTTGATGGGCATTCCCTCAATTACCAACTTTTTTTGTGAAGCATCTCTTAAACGCCTCACTTTGTGCTCCCCAAACAGCAGGGGCATCTATTCTTTTTCCTATTAACAGCCAGATAGTGCAACATTGTCCCTACCTCCAGAGAAGAAGAAATGTTTCAGAGGGCCATAGGGAGATCAGCCCATTATTCAATGGGCAGTGAGGCAGTAAAAGTTGTGAGGGAAGGAAAGATAGAGGGCTAATTAAGCTCGTTGTCTTTCATTTCATTGCTCTTATATGCCTCTCAAATAATGCTGTGATGTACATAAAAGACTTAAAATCATAGTCTCAAGGCCTTAGAATTGTCTAGTACAACCTCCTATCCAGGGCAGAAGTTTTTTATTGTTGTTGTTTGTTTTTGTTTTTTTTAAACATCCCCATCTACCCTCTCGGGATACTTACTTCAAGAGGTGGCAGGGTCATTATTTTGTGAAATAATTCCATTTGGAGACAACACCAATAATAGTATGTTCTTTCTTTATATTGAGCCTAAAGCTGCTTCTGCATAGCTGCAGGGAATAGCCTATCCTCCGTTTGACAGTCATTCAAATAGTCAAAAATAGCCATTGTGTTTTTTCTGTAGTTTTTTCTTCCTTAGCCTAAAACTCCCCATTTGTTTCTCTTGTTATCCATATAGTATCATTTCAAATTTCTTACCATGCTAGTATCATTCCTGTGACTCCACAGCAGTTTATTAATGTCCCCCTCAAAATGTTGTGCCCAGAACTGAATACTGAACTCCAGATGTATTCTGATAGGTGTGTTGTATACTGAGAGCATCTTTTTTTAGTCTGGTCACTTTTCGTCTACAAATTGAGCTCCAAACGATGGTAGATATTTTTTAGTGGCCGCAGAATAACTGTTGGTTTGTATTGACCTTGTATACAATTGAAACCTCCAGATGTTTTGAGTAAGCACAGCTATCCAACTCACTCTGTCCAATCTTATCCTCATACAGTTGATATTTTGAACAATTATATTTATTATTCTATTTTGCCATCTTGTGTTTTCTTCCTCTTCTGTAATGATATTTCAGAAAATGTTGACTCAGACATCTACTATCTACTATAAAACTGTCACCCATACCTTTGAGTCATCAGCCACATTGATGTTCCTTCCATGTTTTCATTCAAAGTTTTGAATACCAAGGTAAACAGGACAGGTGAGAATATGGAACCCTGAGGTACAACAATAGGGAATTTCCTAACAATTGACATCGATCTGTTAACTGAAACACTTTGGATTAAGTCACTGAGACATTTTTGAAGTCACTCTGTGGAATCTAAATTATGAGCCTTTATCTTGTCCTCAGTGATAGTTTGAGAGACTGTCCATTTCCTTTTGGAATTCAAGGTACTTGATGCATGCAGCTTCCTTAGAGAGACATGCAAGGCATAGTGCTTAGACTGTTGGCCTTGGAGTAGGAAAATCTGGGCTCAAATCCCTACTCTCACATTTATGAGATGTGTTGTTATGGCCAAGTCACTCAGTCTCTGTGACCCTCAGTTGCCTCTTCTTAAAGTGGTTAATAATACCTGTAGCACCCATCTAATATGGTGGCTCTGAGGCTTAGATTAAAGAATTTAAGTAATGTACTTTATAAATGTTAAGCTATCAGAGCTTAAAATGGCACTAAGACTTTTTGCTATGCCCTTTAGTAGTGTCAGCTGCTATACACGTTTATTCCTCATCCATTTTAGAAGTTTTATTTAAAAAAGAGCATGTTTGATCTCTCAGTATGCCCTTCAAACCTACTGGATGGGTGACTGGGCAAGTCAGTTTACCTCATAGTGCTTTGTATTATCTTTTTTTTTTTTTTTTAAAGTGAGGCAGTTGGGGTTAAGTGACTTGCCCTAAGTCACACAGCTAGGAAGTATTATGTGTCTGAGGCCGGATTTGAACTCAGGTCTGCCTGACTCCAGGGCCAGTGCTCTATCCACTGCACCACCTAGCTACCCCCTTCATAGTGCTTTGAGTTCTCCACGACTATAATTTGTAGAGAATGGGCCAACTTGAAATAGTAGCCATTTCTTCACACTGGAGCTCACTTTGCCAATCAAATCACAGTTCACATTCCTGTCCAATTGATATCCTAAGAAATTTGTTCATATTTAACTCTTGCTCAGTCTTAGGAACCAACCCTATTTTCTTTTCTTAGCTCTCCCAAAGTGTTTATTAATAGATTCCTGAATTTTCACACAGATGGGCATCAGGCTTAATAATCTAGAGTTTCCAGAATCTGCTTGTATCTCTTTTTGAACATTTAAGTATTTTCCCCAAAATTACTAACAGTTTTTCTCTGAATGGTCTATAAATACTATGAGCGTTGTCAAATCTTTTCCTATCTCCTCACATTTCTTAAACTTTAAGTCCCTCTTAACAGTGTTTATTCTTTGATCATTTTTGTTCACGAGGGGCAGAATTAGAGAAAAGTGAATTTTGATTGCTTTTTTTTTTTTCCTCTCCAGATTCCATTATGCTGAAGACAAGGTGTGAAAACTTGGAGTGGACTTCAAATCTGGTCGGTTCTCTAGGAGAGTCTGCTAAGGAGATAAGCAGCAAGAATAATCCCTTTACTTCCAAGTTGGAAGGAACGTGGGAGTCTGACGTCAGGTCAGAGAAGCAGAAGGGGCACTGGAGCAGACAATCCAAGGAAGTACCAAGAATTCAGAGAAAAACTAATGATGAGTTAAATGTTCACGAATGTAATACGCTTGGGAGGACTTTCAATCGAGTGCCACTCATTTTTCCGCCACAGAGAGTTCCAACGGGAAAAATTCTCCAGAAATATGATACACTTGATAAGAACTTCGAAGAGTTTTCAGACCTAAATAAAGATACTAGAATTCCCTCTTCTATTTGTAAGTATAGTAAATGCAGGAGGCCCTTCACTTACCACTCAGATCTTATTCAGAATCATAGAATGCCTACTACACAGAGATCACATGAATGTCATGAATGTGGGAAATCCTTCACTAACAACTCAGTCCTTAAAAAGCACCTGAAAATCCACACAAGAGAGAAGCCCTGTAAGTGCAATGAATGTGGCAAAGCCTTTAAGCAGAGGCGCTCTGTTTATGAACATCAGAAAATTCATTCTCAGAGGAGAGAGAAACCCTATATGTGTCATGATTGTGGGAAATCCTTCAGTTGTAAGTCTATACTCTGGATTCATCAGGGAATTCATAGCAGAGAGAAACCCTACAAATGTAATGAATGTGGGAAAACCTTCAAGCACAAGTACTTGCTTACTGATCATTTGAGAATTCATTCTGGAGAGAAGCCTTATAATTGTGCTGACTGTGGGAAAACATTTACCCATAGGACATCACTATTTATGCATCAAAAAATTCATGCTGGAGAAAAACCATATAAATGTACTGACTGTGGGAAAGCCTTTGCCTACCGGGCAACACTTATTGATCATCAGAGAATTCACACTGGAGAGAAGCCTTTTAAATGTACTAAATGTGGGAAAACATTCAGCCGGAGATCATCATTTAGTGCTCATCAGAAAATTCATACTGGTGAAAAACCATACAAATGTACTGAATGTGGGAAAGCCTTTGTCCACAAAGGAACATTTACAGAACATCAGATTATTCATACTGCAGAGAAACCTTACAAATGTAATGAATGTGGGAAAACTTTTAGTCGGAAAGGCTATCTTACTGACCATCAGAGAATTCATAGTGGAGAGAAGGTTTTTAAATGTACTGAATGTGGGAAAGCTTTCAGCCTGAGGCCCTCACTTATTATGCATCGAAAGATTCATACTGGAGAAAAACCATACAAATGTACTGACTGTGGGAAAGCCTTTTTCTACAGGGGAGCATTTAATGAACATCAGAGAATTCATAGTGGAGAGAAGCCTTTTAAATGTTCTGAATGTGGGAAAGCCTTTGCCAGCAGGGGAATACTTAGCAAACACCAGAGAATTCATAGTAGAGTAAAACCCTTTATCTGTCATGAATGTGGAAAAAGCTTTAATAAGCAGTGCCATCTTAATAGCCATGAGAAAATTCATATTAGAAAGAAACCTTTTGAACATCCCAAATGTGGGGAAACATTCCGCTATAAGAAATTGCTTACTCTACATGAGAGAAATGATACTGATGAAAAAGATTTAGAGTGTAAGGAGTGTGGCAAAATCTTCAAACAGAGAAGTTATCTTGCTGTTCATCAGATGATTCATACTGGAGAGAAACCTTTTGAATGTACTCAGTGTAAGAAAGCTTTCAGCCATAAGGCAGCTTTTAGTCGGCATAAAAAAATTCATACTGGAGAGAAATCTTTTAAATGTGCACAATGTGGGAAAGCTTTCAGCCTAAGTTCATCTCTTATTCGACATCAGACAGTTCATACTGGAGAGAAGCCTTTTGAATGTACTCAATGTGGGAAAACCTTTGCCCTCAAAAGATACCTTGTTGTACATCAGAGAATTCATACTGGAGAGAAACCTTTTGAATGTACTCAGTGTGGGAAAGCTTTCTGCCACCGTTCAAATCTTGTTATACATGAGGGAATTCATACTGGAAAGAAGCCTTTTAAATGTACTGATTGTGGGAAAACATTCCGCCAAAGCAGGTCTCTTACTATACATCAGAGAATTCATACTGGAGAGAAGCCTTTTGAATGTACTCAATGTGGGAAAGCCTATACTGTCAGAGGAAACCTTACTGTACATCAGAAAACTCATACTGGGTAGAAACTCTATATGTTACGAATTTGGGAAAGCCTTCAGCACTACCTTACTACATTGGAGACATCAGAGAATTCATAATGAAGAGAAACCCTTCAAATGTGCTGAATGTGGAAAATGTCCAACCAGATGAGAACTTAACATCAGAAAATTCGTAGAGGAGAGAAACCTTTTGTGTGTCCTGAATGTGGGAAAGCTTTCAATCATAAGATGTACTTTGCTCTACATACAGCAGCAAAATCCTATAAAAACCATCAGGCAGAGGGAATATCATCCTCTAAGGCAGAGAGCTCACATTGCATTCACATCTACATGGTAATGAACATGGTATATCCATCAGCAACAGCTCAGTCCTTAAGAAACACCAGCTAATTCACAGAGGGGAACCCTGTAATTGTAATAGATGTGGGAAAAGTCTTCCCTTAGTTTTGTCTCAGTCCTTGGGAAGCATCAGAAAATTCATAATTGAGAGCACCCTCCAAAATGAATGTGGGAAAGCCCTCAACTGGAGCTGCCATCTTATTTCTTTATTCTTTCTAGGTGGATTGTCATACATTAAGATAATAATTTGTTTTACCTTCCACTCCACTGTACCGAAATATTGAACATATTTATCATTCTACTTTGAGGGAAGTTAATAATTTGAATAACCAGTATTTCTATGTGATCCATTCTTCTGCCTCTGACAGACCCCATTTCTCAAGGACAGGCAGTTTCTGAAGGATTTGATTGAATGAGAACATTCCCAGCCTCCAAGGCATCTGCTCATGAGCCAATCACGTCCGACTCCACATGACTTCATTTGTGGTTTTCTTGGCAAAGTTGGTGGAGTGGTTTTACCTTTTCCTTCTCTAGCTTATTTTGAAGTGACTTATGCAGGGTCACATGACTAGATGAGCCTTCCTGACTCGAGGCCTAGCATGGTATCCACTACACCGCATAGCTACCCTAAACCTTGCTTTTGTTTACCCCTTAAACAGAAACCAGCTTGAGCTATGGCTGCCCCCAGGGGATGACGCATGCTCTTGGTTTTCCAAATCGAAATTTTGGGTGACCTGGTCTCCTACAGCAAAGGCAATACAGGAGAGAACCTGATTGAGATAGCTTATATTTTTCTAGCCAGGATTACTAGAGGCAACTGGGTCACATAACGAACATTCCTTAAGTTCCTAAGAGGTGTGTAATCAGCCACATCTGAAAGCCATCCCATTTTCCCTAGCTGCAAACTGTTCCTTTCACCTAAAGATTGGTCCTGTCCTCAATTCTCCTCCCCCCTCCATTAATGAAGTAATTGGGAGGAGCTGAGAACTATTAACCCACCTCCTTATTTAAATATCCAGAAGTGATTGCACTGCCTTTACTAGGGAGGTCCAAATGATGTTCAGTCTTTTTTCAGTCATGTCTGACCCTTCATGACTTCATTTGTGGTTTTCTTGGCAAAGAAGCTGGAGTGGTTTTACCATTTCCTACTCTAGCTCATTTTACAGAGGAGGAAACTGAGGCAAGAATGGTTAGGTGACTTTCCCTGGGTCACGCAGCTGTTAAGTATCAGAGGCCAGAGTTGAACTCAAGATGAGCCTTCCTGACTCTGGGCCCAGCACTGTATCCACTCCACCACAGTTACCCTAAGGATGCCCAAATGATGCAGTGTCAGGGCCAATGAGAAGAAAGATGCACCTAGGTTTAAAAGGCCCTGTCTACCTTCACTTTGGGTCTTTAGTCACTGACAGGGGCCACTGACTTAACTTACTGGTTACTGCTAGCCTGACTAGTAAGTTGATCACTCCAGGGCTTTTGACACAGATGGAGAAGGCTAGAGACCTCTTTATTGTTAAGTTCAGAGCCATATTAATAAATGAGATCTTGCTTGGAAGTGGCCTCTGTTTACCCTTTTGTGAAATTACAATTGAGACAAATTCCTGAATTTACGTACGTAAACATTTGTTTTTTTAATATACAGTACTACCCTACCAGCCTTCTTTTACCCATTTGCTAATTTTTTTAAAATAAAGTATAGCCATCCAAAAATGTATTACACTTATCGATTTTATACCAGATACTGGAGAATAATTGGTAGCCAAGAGATTACTTGGCTGAGGAAGAAGGGGCTATAGCACATTTAATGCTTCAGGTCAAGGTGACTCACTCAGAGAAATCTCCAGTCTCAGGTAAAAGTTGATAAGAGCCAGGTGAAAGTATCTTTGGTAAGAAGCACATAGAAACAGTGACAATCCAAAAGGGGAACCCCCCCCCCCCACCAGGTACGCAAGGTACCTTAATATTCCTTTCTAGGTCCTTGGCCTTCTCTTATATATACTGGGCCTAGGCATTTTAAGTTCACTTTATATTACTAATCTCTCAGTTTAAAATCTCTCTTGCGTATAAACTTTAGTTGGCTTAGAAGTACTATCTTGATGTACTTCCAATGCAGGCATGACCTCCACTAGAAGCCATGGCCTACTCCATCCTTCCCTGTGCCGTATCCTGAAGTGGGATGTGTTTCTACCCACATGCACGCTGTTTTCTCTCCTCCCCAGCAGCCTTCTCACACTGGAGGTGCCTCCATCTCTGAAACTCCCTCATCTGATTGGTTAGGTTCTGCCTAGAGCCATTATTTGGGGAGGTGACCAGGATAAACATGCGCATTTCTCTCTTCTACTTTTCACACACCTGACTACTCTACCTTGTGCTTGGGAGCTACCTCATCCTTTCCAACTCTATCTTATCTATTATCTTTCTACATTAGAATTTAAGTTCCTAGAGGATAGGATCTTGGCTTAATAAAAAAATGTATTAGTATTCCCAGTTCTTGGCATAGTTCCTGAATTATAGGAAACACTAAATGCTTCATCTATTTCTGTTTATTATATTTAGCAGTTAAATAACAAAAAGCAAAAAGGGAGGGAGAGAGCTCATTGGATATAAAACAGCCTGGCTGACTACTGTCTTCAGGAGTAGAAATCACTCTTCTGCTTTAAATTCACGGGAATGAGGAAGAAACAACTTTGGAGGAGTCAGGCAGTGAGAGGGTTGCTTACTTCCATAACTAGGAGGCACAGAAGAGGGGAATCCTCTTTCCAAGAGGAAAATTAGGGTACCTCCCCAATTGCAGTTTTCCATTCTTGTTAATATCCCTTTGTGTCTGTCTGTCATTCCCTTCTTTCCCACCACTCACCTCACCCATCATTCTGTTAGACCAATGAAGCAACACTCCCACTGTTGGGGGCAGTAGCAGAGTTGATGGTTTCAGGTACTCCAGAGGGAAAAGCTGGGGACTCAGTGAGACAGCTAGCTTCTACTCTGATAGTGCCAAGATGGTGTACTCCCCACTTCCACAGGTACTCAGCAGCAAATTGCAACTACTGCCTGGAAGTCTTGACTTCTTTCTTCCAAAGATCCTCAGAAAGCTATCCCAGATGTCCAAGTTTCCAAAATATCACTAATTACCAGTCAATGGGATTGCATCTGCTTAAACATCTCTCATCTCCATTGCAGTGCAGGCATTATACAAGCCGCAGTCATCCAAGATCTGAATTCTGGTTTCCATCCATAGCTTCTTCCTTCTTTGGCTTCCTCTTTGTGTTCTGAAGAGGAGCTTTTTTAAATTTTATTTTTAAATCTGACCATTCCTTTTCTATTTATTAACCTCAGATTGGCTGGGAGGAGGGATTGGAGAAAAAGGAGATATCAACCCAGCCTGTAATACTATTGCATTTTTTAAAAATTTTAAACATAAAATAAGAAAAGAAAAAAGAAACAACTTAAATGCTAAAACTAAAATAATACAAAGTAAGAAAAGAATCAAAAAGCATTGCCATGTGCATAGCAGAACATGAGAGAGGATTCAACATATACAGTAATACATTTCCATTTCAAGAAAGCCTCTATAATAAATCCTACCCATTGTGGTAAGAGCTGTCCATCCTTTCTTTGCTTCCTTGTAAGTTTTCTTGTGTTCTCTGCTGGGCACATTTTACTTTGTTCTTTTCCCCCCTTCCTCCCCACCTCCTGAGAAGGCTACAATTAAGCATTGAGATAGATACACACACACACCCCCCCATATAAATACACATATATACTCGCATATATATGTATGTACATATGCACACGCATGCATATATAGACAGACATACACATACATATATAGACATACACACAAAGATATACAGATACACACATATACCCATACAGAGGTACACTTACACACATACTTGGATATAAATAATCATAGTCTTCGACATATACATTCATATGCACATATGTAAGACCGTACTATATTTATTCATCCTCTGTTTCTCTGAGGGTGGATAACTTCTTCCTTCATAAGTTCAAGTCTTTCCATATTTTTCCAAGTCTACCAACTCATTTCCTATACCATAGCAATATTCTCACCTTATACTGTCTAGTTGGTTTTTTTGTTTGTTTGTTTTGCCTTTTGGTGAGGCAATGGGGGTTAAGTGACTTGCCCAGAGTCACACAGCTAGGAAGTGTCATGTGTCTAAGGTTGGATGTCTAGTTGTTTTAGAAGGTGCAAAACAACATTGATAAATATGGCTGACACGTAGTGTAGTTTCCCTATTTTTCTCTTTTGATTAAATCTCTTTTAGCTTTAACTTTGAGGTCATGATTACTACCCCTGTTCCTTTTTCTCTAATAAATTCTGCTCCTGATCTTTATTTTATGTTTGTGCATATCTCTTATTTCCTATCCCTCCTAACTCCTCTACTTCTACCTGCTACCTTGCCCTCCTGTTACTTAACCCACCCTCTTCCAAGGATCCCTCACTTATTCTTCCATTCCCATTAATCTAAACCCCTTTCTATACTCGCCTTTAACCTGTTCCCTCTCCCCTAAAGATCTCTCTCTTATCCTGTCCCCACTCCCTATCCTCTTAGCATTTTGTTCCTTTCTGAATTTAGAAGACTTGTATGTTCTTCTCGATATATGTGTATTGTTCCTTCTGGAACCCATTCCTGATGAAAGTAGGGTTCCAGAACTACCAGCCCTCCTCTTCCCCCATCTAATTCCTCTGTGTTGTTCTTCCTCTGGCACCTCATTTGTATAAGATAATTACTCTTTTTGCCTTTTCCTGAACGGTTTTACTTTTTAAAGTCATATCATACTCAGGTCTACCCCAATCTTTCTTATGAACTACCCAATTACTAATAACAATCTTAGACATACATTTTACATTTTGCATGTATTTTTTTAAAAGCCCAGTTTACTCATTGCCTTCATTATCTGAGTGTGTTAATAAATCACATGATCATGAAGAACAAATTGTCAAATCCTGTGAGTTTAGGGAGTCATAATTGAAGGTGGAACTCTAGCCCCTAGGAAAAAAGGGAGCTTGAGGTATTTGTAGACAAAGGGTTTTTGGTGTAATTTCTAAGGCTGTACTCACACTATCAGGCAATCTCAGGGTTGGCAGTCACCACAAATGCTCTTGCAATGGGGTCATTCATAGGTAGTGAGAGCACCATCCAGTAGCTAAACATGCTACTCATTTACTTACCTGGCTGAGTAATGAAACAGATCTCAAAGCAATGGTTGTTCTTTTTATCAACATGGAGCAAGGGAAAAATAGCTAGGAGTGAGCCGTTAAGGTTGCTACTTAACTGATCTAGTACCAGCCTGTACTGTTTGTTCACTGACCACAGTCTGTACATATGCAAGCTGTTTTAGTCCTCTAGCTTAATTTCATGCTCTTTTGATTTGATTCGTAAACTTGTGGAGTCCAGAGCATTCTAGCCAGCTTTTGTGAGATGAACTCTGTTTCTGGGTTGTCGGGAGCCAAATAACTAAGGACTTTAAACACCCATCAGAGGGGTTTGTTTGATCGTAGAGGGCAGTGGCTTGAGTAGAGGAGTAACGAGGTCAGATCTGTGCTTTCGGAATAGCACGATGGCTGCTGTGTGGAGAATGGATCAGAATGAAGAGAGTGGATGGAGAGGGACCAGTTAGGAGGCTCCTGTAATATTCCAAGTGAGAGGCGATGAGGGCCTGAAGTAGGCTGCTGGCCACATGGGTAGAAGGGAGGGTATCACAGTGGAGTGCGCTGCTGGAGACAACCGGAAACGGCTTGATCAATTTTTAGTGCCAGCATTCTGGCGTCAGAATTTGGCAAATGCTACAAATCAGGGCTTGACTTATTGCTTTGTTAATTATCCAGACCAGGGATCAGCAAAGTACTGCCAAGGGCCCAACCTAGTTGCATAGCGGATTTTATATGGTGCTTAATAACCGTATTTACATTTTAAAATACAATAAAACTTTAAGAACATAAAAATAATCCTCAGCTCACTGGACACACAAAAACAAGGAGTGGTAGGTTGACTCCTGATCTAAACTTAAGAAAGCCATGGCGAAGATGTTAATAATGCAGATTAAATGTGTGTTTTGAGTATTTTTCCCCCACTTGGAGAGCAGTTGTTGACCATTTA